ACATTAAGTAATATTCAAAAATGGTTATTTTGAATAGCGTTATGTACATGCGCACATAAACGCAAACTTTTATCAACAATGAATTCGTCTCTTCAGCAGAACGTTGATGAATTGATCGAACACAACAACGAGTCATCTGAAAATGAATATGAATTCATGCTGTATTTTCAAATGTTGACATCAGAGATTTACTATGACTTGGATGAGTGCGTTTACTTAGCTATCTAGCGGCAAGAAATGTTGCTTTCTGACAAGATCGACCATTGAAATTTTGGCCAAATAATGTTTTATTCAAAATTTGGACTTCGCCGTATCTAAGCAATTAAACTTCCCAATTATTTCCCGCAACGAATAAATTACGACGAAATTAACTACCTGAACGAAAGTATCAGCTCGTCCTTGCGTTCCCAAGCGATATTCTATACTTCTTAACAGATCATTCGTCTTTAAAATTAATAACATTGAGCGTGGCATCCGCTCCAAAACTTGTGAAATTTCAGGTATTAGTGTGGCAGCGTATGACTTGATTTTTTGCTGCTATAATCGAATTAGAAAATTTTAGTTTTTAGTGGAAAAGATCTGTTTTTATGCTATGCTATATTTTGTTTTTTATTCTATTTAATATTTCTATCATAATTTATAGAATCAAAGTTCCACGATTAAATCTGTAATTTTTTCACATAAAGTAAATATAACTTGCTTCATCATATGTAGCAGATGATTTGTCAATGCCATGGCTGATTGCATCCCACGATCTGTTTGTCACCATACAGGCAAAAAGACCATAAAGATCACCCACGCCCATCGACTGTGCACATTCCTGAAAGTTTTAGGAAGAAAAATTGAAAATTCCAAAACTAAACATTCAAACTTTTGTGCAGAAGTAAACTATACACGAACCTTAATTTCATTTAAATTGGGTTCTAATAGTGCTAGCCATAACTTCGAATATTTTATCCGGAAATCAGGTTCCACTGTCTGCAATGTACAAATCAAAATGAAACAACTTTTGCATTCTTTGCAAATTTATAAACAATTGCAAGTTGTAAACATTGAAAACATAGTGAAGTTCTCGAAAATATTGCTGAAAAGTTATCTAGTGCCATGATTTTTCACCACCTTCCACCACTAGCATTCTATTTTACTCTCTCCTTTCAATTTCTGGTAAAAAATCAGGTTCTTCAAATTAGTATCTTCGGAAAAATGAAATTTCATGTCAACAGATCAAACAAAAAGACCTACCAAATAAAGTCCATGATCCAAAAGAACGATCGAGACATGTCCATCCTTTGCCTTATTTACCAAAACGTTGCCAGGATGTGGATCACAATGAACGTAACCATTAATAAAGATCATTTCACTAAACAGTGCACCCAGTTTACGACAAACCTATAGTAAAAAAATATTCATTTGATGAAATCCAATTTAGTTATGAGCAGAGTAATAATATGCTTTGTTCACATGATCTGAAAAAAGAACGAAACTATTTCCAGTCAGCCATATTCTACGATACGATATAACCTTCAGAATATAAAAATGTGTGCCAGTTTAGTAATGGGTTTCGTCAAAGGACGTAAATGAATAGTAAGAAATAGTGAATATTAAAAAGACTAAATTATGGAGATAATATTAAGTGGTTAAAACAACGAAAATTATCAATTATTACAATACATCCGAGCTTACATCATAGCGATTAATATTATTTTGCGTAAAATAATTGCAATCATTTATTTGAGCACCGTCGCAGTATTCCATTGTGAGAACACGTTCTGTCGTATATTCTTCATATATCTTTGGAATCTGCAATATACCTCTATCTTCAGAAATAATCCACATTCAAGCAAACTTAATGCAATAATGAATGAGATGAGCAACAAACGAAATAATTTTCTCTCGTATCCACTATCAAGGAAACAACATTAACTATTCAAACACAACTTTTCTCCAATATATATATATATACAATAAGTTTTAGACTAGAAAAAATACCTTAAGATAGTCGAGGTGTGAAAACATTTCCTTCAGTTTTTTCGCATTTGCCGCCTCAACTTTAAAATTCAATTCTCTAGGCAAATTTCGCTTCATTTCGTCCACCAACCAAAGAAAATGGAAGCCAGGAAAGAGCTTTGATGCCAGATTAGTTAAGGCCTGGAATGAAAATCCTATTATTTCGACCACTAAACCTAAGTCCTTATTTACTACCTTGACGTTACCTGCTAAAGTTCATCTCTAGATGACAAGTGTCCAGGAAAAGAAATAAGTAAAAGAAACATCATTTTTTTAACGAAGCTCATATTTGCCAAAAACAGCAAAGTCAGCGCTGCCATTGTAAACCCCCTATATGTGATAAAAACTTCGTGCCTCGATCGTCTTAATGTCAGCCCAACTTCTCGGCTTTACATGGATATGTTGTACTTTCACAGCAACTTCTTCGTTGTTTTTCCTTAAAACTGCCCGATAAACTTGTGCAAGTGATGCAGAACCTTTTGGGCTTTCATTAAATTCCACGAATACATCTTCCAGCTGTAAACAGATTGAATATGATTAAATTCGTCAATCATAATAGGTATTGTCTGCAATTTTATCTGAATTAATGCAATAATAGATGTTACTACAAGTAAAACGTAAATAATTGGAAAAACACAAATAACAAGTAATGACGAACAAAAATTATCTTTGTCGGTGTCGCAATTTTGATTTCGATTCCTCCTAAAACCACAAAAAAAGCTGCAGAAGCATAACAATACTACTTATATCTTAAGCCCATTACTTACCTTGGCATTTAGGTCTTCCTCCAGAACTTGTCGCACTTCTCCTATTTTACTCTCGGGTGCTCTTGAATGCAAAACACATAAAGTATCCGTGTATTCAGTTGGAAGAAGATACTCTAGGGCAGCCAAATGTTGTCCGACCTGAACAGTTATGGAATATTTCAAACCCTGAAGGTCACCAATAAATATACAGACTGCCTTATTATAAATAACACAGTTACAATATTAGGTTCCGCTGATCATCAGATATACTTCATGCAGTTATCAGTAAAGAAAATTATGACTTTAAAAAACGCTACCTTAAAGAAAAGTCTACCTACTAAATTTAACTCTTACTTTAATATAGACACCACCATTGTTTTCAGCTAATTTAAGTAGTCTTCCAGCACTTCTGATGTGTGCTGCACTCAGTTTCTGATGATACAGTGCGTCCATACCCGAACAAGTCCACAGAGTCCATTTATAGTCGGCTACAATACAGAGTACCTGAAAATGTTTAAGAATGACCTATGTAATCCGTAATCATAATCCTCGTTTGCATCTATCAAACTTGCAGACTTAATTTATTCTTTGGAAACGAATACAACATCTCTTCTAACCAAAAAACACACTAGTCCTATTAAACGGCAGTAATTAATTTTAAAACAAAAGATAAATAGTCAACATTTTTCGTAAAGAAATGTCTTATTTTTCACTAACTGATTAGTTATCATACCGTGACACCTGCACGAACGACACGAAATGGTCCAAGCTGGAAGAATCGTTCTTGATCATACAAAATGCCAACTGCTGATCCACATAATGCAATTCCTACACCGATAGCCAATTTACGCAGACGGTCACTGTTTTTTACCACAATTGGCATGTGTCCCTAGAGTCGGGAAAAAGAAACTGCCCGTTTCACTTATATTTGTTCCAACACTTCAATGCATCTGAGAAAAGACAAATTAATGATGCGTACGGATGACGTGACTTCCAGATCATATGCCTTCCACGACTACGTGAAGATTCTTTAATTCCTTATTTATTCACTATTCACTAACAAAAACAAAAACGATAAGAAAACGCCAGCAAACGCGCACTTCTCAACCTTAAACTTGTTTTATGCTACCCGCCGCTGAAATGTAACGTCAACAAGTGAGAAACGTAATGCAAACACGGAATCCCACCAATAGCAAATAATTCACGTAACAGTGGACGTAAAGTGCAAATGAATAAGGCGTAAATGGAGTGACCACGTAAAGATTTGAATGCAAATTTAAAATTTTGATTTGCAATGAACTCTCTGGCTGAATCATTGCCATTTGATGAATTGAAACTTTAACTGTGCATTTTAAACATATTCTAATAGCACTGTTCATTTATTATTCATCCTAATATGAATAGATAAAATTGATCGTCAAAAGTTGTCACAAAATTTGTCACCGCAAAATTTTGAATAAAATTCTCATTTATTCGACAATACATACACTAAAATAGAAGTGATTTGATCGCATCAAAAAAACATAAATTTAAAATTTGCTATAAATTTAAAAGAACAATAAATTTCAGATATACTATCAGTTTTGATAAAAATAATAGCAACTAGTAATTATTGTAAAACACAAACAAAAACCATCGTTCAGTGATATTTCTTGTTTTAATTTCTTCCTTTTTTTTATTTATTTAAGATGAATTTGTCATAGAAATAAATGTAATGATAAGAAATGAGTGATAAGATAAAGCATTGAGAATGAATGGAATTGATTAATCAAATTCATCTTAAATAATAAAATAAAAAAAAAAAGCATATATGCTACTACGATCTACTACAAATAAAAATTTTGTGAAATAGAAAGTAAGGTTTACAGATTAGTAAAGTACTACTGACATTTTAATTCATTTCATTTTTGTGTAATCAATTGAATGCTTAATAAGATTTTATATATTCGAGATTATATTATAGGTTTAGCAGTAAAATAGTAATAAAATTTATTTTAGAAATGAAGATAGTGAATCGGAATTGTTTTTTGTTTTTTTTTTTTTTTTTAATTTGTAAAATGTATGAGAATTAAAATTTCAACTGCTTAACTACCGAGAATTTTAAGAAATATTTGATATTGTAGTAATAACTACATTAAATCATGAAAATAGCGGACAACTTTCAATTATCAAAAGAAAAAAGTATGTAAGCTGATAAGGATAATCAAACAAACAATTTTTAAATACAAAAAAAAAAAAAACTGAATTTCATTTGTTGCATTCATTTTCTGATATTTCTTCCATCAGTCCACGATGAACAATTTCTTCCTGATGTCTTTCATTTTCCTGAATATATCAAAATGATGCAATCAGGTAAATAAGATTAAATTATCAAAGTAAACATTGGAATTATAGAACAGAAAGTTCAAAATTATCTCAAGAATGCTCTCAAAATCCTTCGTTGTTGTTCAAGAAATGCTAAACAGTTCGAAGTTATTACTTATTACTGACCATAAGAACTTTCTTTTCAATTATAAAACTGTAGATGAAAGGAAAGAAACCGACAGGTAAACATTTTAACAGGTAACGACAGGTAACAAATTGCTTATGTACCGGAGGGTAGTGCACTGGAGTGCTGGAGGTAGTAGTAGCAGTAGTACATTGGAGTGTTGAAGATTGAAAAGTTTCCACTGGTGATTTTGGTACTGTTTGTTTATGGCATCTATCAATTAAAGTGATCTTTTGATCCATTAATTTTAGTGCCGAAAAAGAATGAAGGAATTGTTTTTGAAGTTTTTCTATAGTTTCCATTTTTTTTTCCAACTCCTAAATTGAATCTGTTTTTAATTATGATAGGAACAAAGCACCGGACAAATATCTTAAACGTTCTATGATAGTTAAATTGAAATTGATCAAACATTCTGCAAAAAAAAACTAATTGCTTAATCGTATCAAAAATCCTATAAAGCTCAATAATTATCAATCAGATATCCTAGAATGATCGAGAATTTTACATTATGATCGAGAATGATTACAGTAATAGTACCGTGTATCCACTTTTAAGACTGCTACAATCTTCTTTCAGTTTACAATTTTCTTTATTTAATTTCCATAAATTTTCTTTTCTTTCTGGTCGAATTTTCCTTTCATCAGAAATTGATTTCACTAGAGTAGTGCTATGATCTAATTCTTTTTCAATTTTTCGAAGATCATTTTGTTTATGATCCATAAGTGTAATCATCGCTTTCATATTTTCAACGCGTTTCGTTAAAACAGCATCAATTTTCTAAAAAGAATACCACTCTTGAATTTGCGCCCTAATGAAGGAATCAATTTCCGCCTAACATCCATTTTTTACTTAAACATTTGATAAATCAATTTAGATGATAACAAAGTTAAATAAATAAATAAATATACTGCTATAAAATATTATAAATTAATACTTTTTCAACATCTCCCAGGTGATTTATTACTGTTGAAATATTTCGAGAAAGTTCATTTCTTTGCTTTTCCATATATTCTTTCAACATTGAGCGAATTTCCTTACGGAATTTTTTCTTGAATGTCTGAAATGATCTCATATGAATTTGATATGTAACTAATTCTAACTAATCATTACTAACAATAACAAAAAAAAAAAAAACAACATAATTTTCTCGCACTGAAATCTAATAATTCTTGTATAAATTGAATAGATGGAACAATTTTTTTGTGATTAAATTACAAACAAGCATTACGAGATTAGATTTTATTATCAGTGATAAATAAATGAGTGATAAAACTAAAATTAAATTTGCATAAGAAAAATGTGACAATACCGCTAAATCATGTGATTCATGACTTTTAGCTGTTTCATTCTCACTATCATTCTTGGGTAACTGTAACTGCTGAAAAATTTTTAATTTTTTTCTTTTTTTTTTCAATTCAATTTGCATTCATCAATGAAATATATTTTTTCTAAGGAATTTTTATTCTTCTTTTCATTGTTTTAAAATTTAAATACTCTATTCAAAATTGACAAATAATAATAAATAAAGCAAACAAACCATATTATCTTGTCTTGTCTCGATATCCATGAAAACACCAACTCGTTCAACTAAGTGATTAAAACAAGGTTCATCTTGTAAAATAGTTCTTATTGTTGTCTCAAAAAAATCTACAGCATATTGAATATTCTCTTCACCTAACCATGTCAAATCTGTGTTTACTGCTTCAGCTCTAAACTTCTGTAATAAGTCATTTAATTTTTTCTGAAATCGTTGATGAAATTCCTCTGATCGAATCGCTTGAGTTTTTCTGCCTCTAAACTTTTCCTCAATATTCTCGAGAAGAGTGTAAAGTTTCAAATTATCTTCACATTTCTGTTTTATCACTAATTCAAGTTGTGCTGCCATTGTTTCATTTGAACGTTGCAATTGTTCTTTCGCCATTTGGCGCAATTTGACAGAATGTCTTAATTCACTCGTTTGCTCCTCCAATTGTCTTTCAGAATTATTTCGCATATCCTTAAGTAAGTAATGTAATTTTAAGAATTGAAATTTTTCATTCTATTTCAATACACTAAATTAAATTGAATTATATTTTTTATTATACATATTAATTTTTACCTTTTTAGTCGTTTTGTTTTAATTTTTATGCAAAATTAAATCTTTCAATTTGTAAAAAATTCAACCTGTATGATGGATAAATATTTCGCATTTTCATTTTCCAACTTTTTTGTTGCTTTTTCCAAAGTACTAATTTTTTCATCAACTTTTAACAGCTAAAAAAATTTGAATAAATAATAAGCTTTGGGATAATTTCAATTTGTATTAATAAATTTTCAAAAATTATAAATGAATCATTTTATATAATCAAAAGAAATGTTTACTTCTATATTCAATCGTTCTTTTTCATTGCGAGTTTCTTCCAGTTGTTTTTGATAATGATCTCTTCGAATTATCAATTCATTGTGAAACTCTTCAATTTTTCTTTCCTGTTCCTTAAAGTGACCTCTTCTGACCTCTTCTAACTATTACTATTTGTAACTTTTATCTACCAGGTATAATTACTTACTTTTCTTTACTTTCTCACTCTTACTAATTCCTCTTCTGATACCTTTTATCTCAAAAAAAAAAAAGAAAAAAAAAAAAAACCATAATTACAGGTAAGAAAGGGTTCAATTTTTGTTGCTTCAGTCGAACAGAATATGCTTTAGCAATAAATTCACTGTGCAAATACTACTTGCAAATTTTATGAATTACTCATTTGCTAATATTACTCGATATTTCTTACCTGTCAAACATTAATTAATACTTACGTAAGATGCCTTCCAGTATTTCTCATTTGGAATTAATCTTTTGGTTCGATTAGCATTGGAACTTTTCTTTCCTTTCTTATCTTTTCGCTGAAGCAATAATAATAGCTTGAAATGATTAAAGAAACTTTAAACAATAATAATAATAATAACTTGAAATAATTAATAAAATAACTAAATCATTGATTTTAAATCAAAAAAAAAAAAAAAAATTGTTCATCAATGATAAGCATTATCACTTACTTTTTTGATGGAATTATCAGTGACACATTCCTTTGTTTCCATCAAATCTGACCCAAATTTCATTTCCATTTCTTTCTGAAAAAAGATAGTATTTTTTTCCATTTTTTTCTTTCCGAAAATATTCTATCAGTAATAGCATAAAACACAGAGAGCACACTAAAATTGATGGATACAAAAGCTATTTTGTATCAAAATATAATGTTTTGATGAAATTATAAGAAAAACTAAAACTAAATTAGCTTGAATTCACTGACAACAATCATTCTGCTATTTGTTAGCAGATTCTATGAATGAGATACCACGAATGAATTGCAGTATGACGAGGGATTTTTTATTTTTGTTCAAACAAATAAAGGTCAGAATTCATCAATAGTCACTGAGTCGTTCATGTTCTGACGTAATGATAAGGAGAGTAATGATAATAAGAGTAATGATAAGGAGAGTAATGATAAGGAGAGTAATGATAAGGAAAGTAATGATAAGAAGAGTAATGATAAGGAGAGTAATGATAAGAAGAGTAGTGATAAGAAGAGTAATGATAAAGAGTAATGATAAGAAGAGTAATGATAAGGAGAGTAATGATAAGGAGAGTAATGATAAGGAGAGTAATGATAAGAAGAGTAATGATAAGAAGAGTAATGATAAGGAGAGTAATGATAAGAAGAGTAATGATAAGGGGAGTAATGATAAGGAGAATAATGATAAGAAGAGTAATGATAAGAAGAGTAATGATAAGAAGAATAATGCGAACATGATAATAAATAATAATAAGTATTATTATTGTAATGAAATGAAATACTGCAATGAATTGACTTCTTTTGTAGGATTTTTTAGCTCCAACTCATCAGTTTCACATCTTTCATCGTCTTTTTCTTCTTCGATATCACATTCCATATCTTCTAAAGTTCAAAAATTATATCAAATTTATTTATTATAAATTTTGATCACAAAATCAAATTAAGAAACAATTCCTGGAAGATAGATTACATCTGGAAGTATTTACAATTCGAAATGAGAAAAAACTATCATCAAATGTTTGATCATGTTATGCAAATTTTTCTACTTACCATTTGCTTGAGAAGTTTTTTTATTTTCCGTTTCCGGTATCGAATGATTTACGTCAGTCGTCTCTCTCACTTCGCCGGATGAATCGTTTCTCTCATCCTGGAGATACTCTTCTATACCTTTCAATATTACTTTTCAGTACTTTAAGTTATGTGTTACGGAGACAATACATGATAAGAAAAAATTCTCGTTGTAATAAAAAAAAAAACACGGACCGTTTTTACTCCTCTTACTGGTATAACCTTACGTGAATTACTTTCACCCAGACGGACCCAACGTGTCTGAATCCACGATTCTCCCATCATCTGATTAAGATTCTAAACAGATATTATCATGAAGATTTATTGATTTCATTCATATCACTTTACAAAGTCGACCATAATTCATTTTGAGGTCATACTTCCTGCTCATTTGACTTCTTACGTTTACTGGTCACGTCACTTTGTCCTTCCATAATAACTTTTGCACTTCCGATTTCACTCTTTTGAACTGAGAGACATCTATAATCCTGAAAATATACATCTGAGATTGAATTTGATCGCAAATAAACATTTTAATTTCAAGTACTGACATCTGCGACTACAATACTATACAAAAAGTAAGTGACAGCTATTCAAAGCACTCTGAATTAAAATAACTAATTACTGAAATTAATGTAATTACATTTAAAAAAAAAAATTAATAGAATAATTGAAGATAAACAGGACAAAAGAGGACAATTCCGGAAATTTTTTCGGCAAGACAGGAAAGTTTTTACGATTGAGTAAGCATAACAATTAGATGACATTTACCTTTTAGGATGATTAGATAATCCGTGAAAACTCTTCTCTTAAAGATATTGGAAGTAATTTGTAATTATATGCAATATTTTTCACTTACCTGTGCACCTCCAATATTTACTGTCACCTCTGATAACACTGTCTTTGTGAATTGTTCATTTTGTCTGTTCATTTCCTGGAAATAATAATTTGTAGTTTAATTTCAAATTAAAAAAAAAAACATAAATTCTAAAATTTAAAAGTAAGGATGAATAATTCAACGAAAAAAAAATTTAATTTTGTTTTTTAAAAAAAAAAAAAAAAGGAAATAAATTACCTACCTTTTCTGATGGTTACCTACCTTTTCTGATGGCGATTTATACAACAATGGCGTTGTAGTATTATCAGTATTATCACTTTCGTCTACTTTGTTCAATTTTGCGTTATCACTCTCGTCCATTTTCTTTAATTTTGCAAAAGTTCAATTAAAGTTAGAAATATTTAAAAAAAAAAAAAAATTTAATATTAAAAAGTTTCTGTTAGTATAATCTTGATTATTTCAATTATTGCAAAAGAAAATTATTGTTCTTACAATTTTAGTATACAATAAATAAGCTATTACTCTAACAAATTTCAATTTTAAATTGTTCCAATCGATTTTCAATTTTGGCTGATAAAATGAATTCATTTTTGATGTATTGAATTATTATATAAATTAATGAAAAAATGAAATTATAAAAATGAAAATTTTGCTTTAAAACTGATAAACTGTGACATTATTATATCAAATATGTGAGCTTCTACTTTAATTAAATGAAATTCCAAAGAGTAAGTAAGCCTGAAATGATAGCATTATTGCTTCCGTCCCAATTATATTCCCTAAATTTACAAAGTATTATCAAATCTTATCAATCCTACTTTAAAATATAAATAATTTTAATCATTCGTCTGCCATAAATAATCCAAAAATAATAAATGGATGGACAAATGGCAAAAATGATGACAATGGCGCTTTTTAATAGATATTTGCTAGAAAGATCTAACAACTAAGAAAAAAAAAAAAAAAACCAAAAGATCATTGCAATATTTTTTTATGCAAATATTTAAATATCATTTTTTATTAATCCAAAATATGCAAATATTCTAGCTATTTATGCATTTTCTAAGTTTCTAATTGGAATGCAATCAATTGCAATTGATAATTTCATTTATACTTTTTTTTTTCCTCTTCTTTTTTAATAGTAAAATAAAAAGAAGAAAGTTGTTGACAAAAGGTAATGTTGACAAAACAAGTTTTCTATCTGAACATTAACTGTCAAGTAGTGATGTCATGTCACCATGGTATTCGATGCACACAACAGGAATGCTTATATTCTCCAAGTCATTGGTCTACAACCTCAAAATCACCGGAATTGGTTACTTTTAGAAGTTTTCATTTCGAATTTCATCCGGAAAGAGTTGCATACTTGTTATTTTCAGGTTATCGAAACATTCATCATCAATTTGCAGTCGTGCTATCGAGATAATCAACAAACTGTTCCATTACAAACAATTCCATACGGAGGTTAAAACTTTGAAACTTATCATTTTCCTTCTTCCTAACTGATATCATTTATCAGAAACTGGAAACTAATTATTTCTTCTTTTGCAATTAATACTTCTACTGTATATTTCTAGATGGTAAACAAATAATTGATATTTGGGGTAATGAATTCGAGAGTACTAAAGCATTGGCATTGTTTCATGGTGGTTATTGGCAGGTCATTTCACTTTTATCTTTTAAGTTTAACTTGAAAGAATTTAACACAAGAAAAAAGAAAAAAGATAAATTAAGAAAAAAAAAATTTTTTTACAGAAAGATTTCGATTTTAAATATTTACACTATTTGATGAGGAAAAATAATACTTAAAATGATTAGTAGTAGTTCAATTGTTGAATTCATCCAGGAAGGAGATCGGAAACTGTTTACGAGTCCGGTAAAAGCGCTTGTTGACAACGATATTGTGGTAGCTTGTATTGGATATGATTTTGCTACTACCATTTGTTTAAATGATGTGATAGAACAGGGAGCAAAAGCTCTTCACGTAAGTGTAATAAAAGTTTATTCTAGTAAAGTTAATTAAATAAATAAAATTTAATTATCTCTATAGATTTATGAATAAGTTTAATTGTTGAAACAAATGGTAAAATTTAAATTTAATATTTGTATTAGTAATTTTATTTTTTCTTGAATATTATCAAAAAGTATCAGCGATTGTTAACCGGAAGTTATCAAAATGATTAATGGAAGAGAGCATTCGTAGCTTTGCTGAAAAGCAAAAAGTTTTGAAGAAGTTTTTATAATCATAACAACTGGTAGAATAAATAGAATGGAATACAATCAATCGACTTTTCATCTATTCGAATTTAATTTTTTTTTTAAAAAAAAAAAGTGGTAGCGAAATAATCTTTAAAAATGTAAAAAAAAGAGATTAATTAGCAAACACCTGTAGACAAGTTTCTTTTTTTTTTTTTACAGTTTTTAGCAAAACGTTGGCCTTGGAAGAGATTATCGGTTGGAGGACATAGCGCTGGGGCGCATTTAGCCATCTCTGGTAAGCAACTGTCGCTTTTTTTTTTTTTTTTAAATTGCTTCTTTCATTTTTAATTTCAACTATCATTTTTATAAATAAAACATGAAAAAAAAAAAGATAGGAAATGATGCATATTGAAAATAAGATTTTATGGCTCTGATTTAACGACATTAATTAACATTTATCTAAAGAATATTATTGATATTTAATATTCAAACCAGCAAATTCATTTCGAATATAATTATTCTAAAAAAAAAAAAAAAAAAAAAACAATTTCATTGATTCTTTCAAATTTTTTTTAAATCTATTATTGAAGCATTAAAGCGCACAATGGATGCGCATCGATATGAAAAAATTGTGCTCTTTTCTGGTATCTATGATCTTAAACCTTTATTGGAAACATATATTGGAAAAGCAATCAAGTAAAGTTTTTATTTAATATTAAAATTTTAATCATAGCTAATTAATCTTATACTAAAGAATAGATTTTAAATTAATAGCATTTCAGTTGAAAAAAAAAAAAAAATTTAAGCAATCTTTTCACCACCAGATGAAATACATTTAATTGCAATACCCATTTTTTTTGTTTTTTGGGGGAAGGAGGGAGGGGGGGGAGGGTAGAAATATGAAGCATTTCAGGAGTAAAATATAGCTATCAATGTTAAATTTTAGTTTAAGCTTAGCTGAAGCTGAAACTCTCAGTATTACTAGCTTGGATGAAATGTCGGTAGAATTATTGGCTATTGTTGGTGCTGATGAATCACCAAAGTTCAAAGAGCAAAGCCGACATATTGTCGAGAATTACGTGAGCAAACGTTATCCGATGACAATATCAGATTGTTACAAGGTTATTGGTTTATAAAATGATAAATTCTTTCTAAAAAAAGTGTAACTTTGATATTAAAACATTCATCAAAGCATATGAAATGATTAAATGTGCTTATCATTTATTATTATCAATTCTTTGATAATAACTAATTTTGCCTTATTTTTACTAAAATGAAACAAATATTTGACATTTCAGATTATTCCAGGCGAAGATCATTTCACTTTGATCACTAGCTTAAGTGATAAAAACTCAATAGCAACAAAAGAATTGCTCCGTTTTATTCTTCAAAAATAATTTCTCAAAATTTCGTCTTCTTCTTCTTCTAATTTTAATCCATCAAATTGTTCCAAATTTTCCTAAATAGCAAAATGGGAATATTGCATCATTTTGAAATACTCATTTATTTCATTTATTTTCTTTTTATTTTTTGTTTTTGCTTTTTTTTTTTTTTTCTGGACTGATTTCTTTAAATAAATGTGCTTAATGTGACACTTATAGCAATTGTCATAAATTATTTGATGACTTAAAAACAAAATATAAAAATATAAATGAGAGAGTTATAAAGGAAGCAATCATTGTTTTCATATTCTGAAGAGTGAATAGCCAGAAGATCGGTTGACAGAGTATAATATTTTCATATTATGAGCAAGAATGATCCATGGATTGAAACTTTCATATCAGTCAGGTGAGTTAATCAGCTTTCATATCAGTCAGGTGAGTTAATCAGCTTTCATATCAGTCAGGTGAGTTAATCAGTCTTCATATCAGTCAGGTGAGTTAATCAGTTTTCATATCAGTCAGGTGAGTTAATCAGCTTTCATATCAGTCAGGTGAGTTAATCAGCTTTCATATCAGTCAGGTGAGTTAATCAGTCTTCATATCAGTCAGGTGAGTTAATCAGTCTTCATATCAGTCAGGTGAGTTAATCAGTTTTCATATCAGTCAGGTGATTTAATCAATCTTCATATCAGTCAGGTGATTTAATCAATCTTCATATCAGTCAGGTGATTTAATCAATTCTCAGGTGCATTATGCATAACTACGAGGTAAATCTGTCAAAATGTCTCTTCCATTCAGTGGAATGACAGTGATTTTTCTCGACATATAAATGAAATTTGATGTCATTTTGTAGGATAATTCTAAATTTGATCACATTCAGTGTATTCAACATTATGTTATCTCAATGCTTCAAGAAATCATCAGTGAAAACAGATCATGTAAAGCTTTTATTTGAATTAAAGAATTAATATCAAAGATGAAAATACAATAAATACTAAAAAGAATATCATAAAATAATATTAAATGACACATTTCTATTTGTAAATTTGTAATAATAAGGCAAAAAAAAAATTGAGATTTCATTGCCTACAATGAAAGATAATCGAAATCGAACTGATAAGACACAATCTTCAATGGAAAATATATTGGTGGAACAGAAGGAGGAAGATTCTTTCGCTAAAAAAAGACCAATAAAACGACTTGCAAAACGGAGTATTGAAGTGAGAGTTATTCTCGATAATGTTTACTGATATGTTTACTGATATATTTACTGATTTGTTTATTTACTGATATACTGATTTGTTTATTTACTGATATACTGATTTATTTATTTACTGATATACTGATTTGTTTATTTACTGATATACTGATTTATTTATTTACTGACATATTTAATATTTACTGAATGAAAGAATTTCTGATAAGTGGAAGAAAGCTAAATAGTGTTGTTGTTAGTAAGATGATCAGATGATGTAAATTGAAAAATTATCATTTCCTTAGGAAATTTATTTATTAATTTATTTTTTCTAATCCTTCGGAAACATCAAACTTATTTATTTATTTTTTTTTCTAAAGAAAAAAAGGAAGAAAGGAATGTTTAGAAATTTAATAGTATATGCTTCTTCTTTTTTTTTTTTTTTTTTAAAAAAAACGTTTACGTAAGGTTATTTAAACGATGTACAAAAACGACGTACAAAATCATACATTAATTATCTGCAAAAAAAAACTCCTACAATTATAATTATAGATTCGATTAAAAGCACCGGTTGACAGAGAACGAGAAGATTACAAAACACTAAAAGGAATTAAACTACCAATGAGTGATGCAATGAGTGATGTTGAACTCGAGAAATGATGTTGAACTCGAGAAATGATTTAAACTCGAGAAATGATCATAATATGGCACATATTTACATGTTCTCATCAAATATTTCTTGTTTTCAAATTATATCATTAAAAAAAAAAAAAAAAAAAAAGCACCACTAAATGTATATATTTTGTTTCCTCATTCTCATACCTAACAGAATCACAACAATTTACATATGCTAAAAATTTTTAAATATTAATTGCAAGCAAATTCTCACAGAAAATTGAAAAGAGAAGCGAAAGAGAGCAAAAGTTCAAGTTAAACTATCAAATTATCAGTGCTGCTAGGAATGCTATCAATGTTTATCATTGTTCTTTTCTAAACTTTTGTTTGTTTATTTACTGTTCACTGCTAACATTTCTCCACATAACTACTAGTCTAGCATAACATGTGGAAATGGAATAGTTTAATCCCACCAGAGATACTTCCTGAAATTTTATCACAATGACATCTACCTGTTCCTGTCTCCAAGTTAGCAATCACAATGGAGACGAATAACTTTGCATGAAGTCTCTGTTGGGCCGCGTTTAAAATTTGAAGCTCAGTGTTTGGTTGTAAAAAGACTGTTCGCGCGGGTGGATATTTGCCCAATTGACAGGTTGCTGCGAGATGGGTTGCAGAAAGGGTAATAGTGAAATTGGAATTTTGGTTTGCTGTGATCGTTTTCTTCCGGCGAATGAGCATTTTAGATTGTGAGGAGATGAAATAAATTGGAAATGGGTGGAGAAGGTAGCAATGGAATTTTCCTTCTTTGGTTCAGCATTCCTCTTATCATTGGGTATAGTGTATGTGGAATTTGACTGATATCTATTGATATGCTGACAATATCAGTGAATGTTATGGGTATCGTGCTCTAATATTTGAATGATGTAGAGATATGCTACGTGTTTGATGTTTGCAAAATCAACCGGACGATCGGTTACTGTTGTACGTTTGTGAAGCACAATTCAAAAGGAATTCAAACTGTTTGCCGGAGCTACTTCTACTTTTCGCGAGAGCCGTCTGCTCGCCAATAGCATGCTCAAGTCCCGCAAAAAGGACAAAGACGGCAAAGTATGTGTCTTTGAATACTTATGGTTAATAGATATTATAAGAGCTTTAGGAGGAACAAGCATGTTTGTTTTAAAGACATCTCTCCGGAAATAGTTTATCATCTTTTTCTTTCGGGATTTTTGGATAAACTTGTGAGTTTAATATCGAAGCAAAAATTTTTATTGACATGTAAATCAGGCATGTTGTTTTATAATATTTCACTGTAGTTAATGTCAAATAGTTCATGTAAAGTTTTCATCACTTTTGCGTTTTTTTTTTTTTTTTGCAGAACGATAAAGAAGAGAAAAAGCAAGAAAAAATACGAAAAGAGAATAAGGACGAGATTAACAAGAAAGAAGAGAAGCAAACAGGCGCTAACAATCATATGAATGGGATGACAACAGCAACAGCAGCATCGATTCCCCAAATCAAGGCGGAAGATGTTTCTGATGAAACAATTCCAGCTGATGCTCCACCTCCAACGTCTCTAAAAAAGGTATACTAAAAAGAAAGAAAGATATCTTAGAATCGGTTTTTTTCTTCAGATATCATTTTTGGTATTCATCTTTTTTTTTTTTTTTTTTTTTTTTGATATTTTGCAACTGTAATGGTAGTGTGTAATTTTGCAGCAAGCACTTGCGGGTGGACCAGCACTAACCAGACGTGATCGAAGACAAAGCAGTTCTTTATTTTTAGTATCCACCAATCGAGAACTTGTGAAATTGCCGAATATAAAAGGTTTTTTCTTCCATTAGTAGTATCAGTTATTTTGTATAACTTAAGTTGCTATATATTCAACCTTTATGATGAACATTCAAGTAATTTTCTTTTTTCAATAGCAATAAGTAATAAATATGAAAAAGTCGTACTGAGATTTGTCTATCTAAATGATGGATGGTTTACGTAATTTTTAGATGCTGAACCTAACGCACGAGAGGAACTGTTTATCCAGAAGCTTCGCCAATGTTCAGTTGTTTTTGATTTTGCTGTTGATCCTTTGTCGGACTTGAAATATAAAGAAGTTTGTTTCATCTTTTTGTATCGTGAGTTTCTTCAAAATACTACGTATTTTATTTTATATTTTATTTTATGATCAAAAACGATCTGTATTTTTATATTATCAATTATAGTTTTAATTTTTCATGCAGGTAAAGCGAACAACGTTGAACGAACTGACAGATTACATCCTTAGTTGTCAGAATGTTGTTACGGAAGCTATATATCCAGAAGTTATTAGCATGGTAAACTTTACATTTAATGTACTGTTCTTATTTAATGTGCTTTTTCGCTTCTCTTGCCAGTAAGCTCTCTTTCTTTTTATCAGTGCTTCTTTTCTTACATTGGTTTAAGTAGATTTTTTCGAAGCTTTTCGGGATACGAAAGTATGGATAAAATATATGGTTCCACTACTATTTAGGTGCCTGTGATGTCATGGGCTGTTAATTTTTCATTGCTACAGACTGAAGAGATGATCACAAAAATCTAAATCTTCATTGAGCCTAATTAATATTATATTTTAGCTCGGTTCTAATCTTTTCCGCGTCTTATCTCCACCGTCAAATCCAACGGGTGCTGAATTCGATCCAGATGAAGATGAACCCACATTAGAAGCTGCTTGGCCTCATTTGCAGGTTATTATAGAAATTTGAAGCTGTTCTTATACAAAAAAAGAAAGTAAAGGTCGCAGATGAGGTAAAAAAAAACTCCCAGTTTTTGTTCAATAATATATTTAGTTCAGCTCATTTAAATTCATCTTATTGTTCTTGCAGTTAATGAGTAAGCCATGTTAGTTTTTCGATTACTCAACTAATACCTCTCAAGAAAATTGAGGTATGAGGTTGGTGCGGAAAAAAGTTACGTATTCCCAAAGCAAAAATTCCATTAGTTTATTCGTCGAATATTTGAAAGGGATCTTTCTCTATATGACATTGTTAGAGCCATTATAAACAACTGTGAATCAAATGTGTGCAGTGAGAATAAGTTGCTGCTTAATTAATTATGTTCTGTAGGAAGTTGTTTAGATTTATGTTGCAGCTGGTGTATGAGTTTTTTTTGCGTTTCCTGGAATCAGCAGACTTTCAACCGAGTATTGCAAAGCGTTATATTGACCAGAAATTTGTCTTAAAGGTATGGATTTCATGTTGATTAGGCAGATATTGCCAGAGCATAAGGTATTAGTATATATAAAAAAATATATACTAATACCTTATGCCAGAGCATAAGGTATTAGTATATATATATAAAAAAAAATAAGGCGCTGAGTTAGTAACCAAACTGTAGTTGTCCAATATTTTAATTTTAATCTCTTAAAATCTTCATATATCTTCAGCCCTTTTCAACATAAACTAATAATGACTTCCATTTCTTTTTTTATTTAACATAATTTTGAAGTCATATATTATTCATTTATGTTTTAGCTTATCGAACTGTCGGATAGTGAAGATCCAAGAGAGCGTGATTTCTTAAAAACGACACTTCATCGGATCTATGGCAAATTTCTGGGTCTCAGGGCTTTCATGAGAAAGCATATAAATAATATATTTTATACATTCATTTATGAAACTGAACGACATAATGGTATTGCCGAGCTTTTGGAAATACTTGGCAGTATCATCAATGGATTCGCCTTACCGCTAAAAGAGGAGCATAAAACATTTCTTCTTCGTGTTCTTATTCCTCTCCACAAAGTAAAGTTGCTTTGTCTGTTAAAGAGAACTGTCATTATTGTATCCTCTAAGATATTTATTGCCTGTACTCTTCCCTTTCTGTGATATTTATGATATTTAGTAAATAATCTTTTTTTATTCAATGTAATTTTGAAGTCATATGACCTAATTCTTGTAATACTCTTATTATTTGTATATTCCTATTGTTTTAGGTAAAATCTCTCTCTGTATATCACCCACAGTTGGCGTATTGTGTGGTCCAATTCTTGGAGAAAGATCCTACTCTCACTGAACCAGTGATCTTATCTCTGCTCAAATTCTGGCCCAAAGTTCATAGCCCAAAAGAGGTTGCGATTTGATAAGTAGTGTAAAGCATAAAACTGAAAACTATATAAGAACAAATGGAAATATTTGGTCTTTTTTTTTTTTTCAAAAGAGCATAAAACTGCTTTTTTCGGTAGCAGTGGCTGATTAATGCTGATTTTACAGGTAATGTTTTTAAATGAGTTTGAGGAGATTTTGGATGTCATTGAGCCAGCTGAATTTCAAAAGGTGATGGTACCGCTTTTCCAGCAGCTAGCAAGATGTGTTTCTTCACCACATTTTCAGGTTAATGCAGTTTTTGTTTATTATAAAGACGAGAGCGGGTTAATATAATATGATTGTTGAATGGTTTTGCACGTGTTGGAATAGTAAAGGAGAAAGGCAGATTTTATTTTATTCATTCTTTATTTATTATGAGAAATGCACATGATCCTCCAAGAATTTTTGTTTTAGGTAGCCGAAAGAGCGCTTTATTATTGGAACAATGAATATGTCATGTCATTAATCAGTGACAACGCTGTTGTGATCTTACCCATCATGTTTCCTGCGCTCTATCGAAATTCAAAAAATCACTGGAACAAGTAAACCAGTTTTGTCACTTTTTACGTAAAAGACTACAACTACTTTTTTTGTTTAGGTTTGGACTTACAGACGAACCAGTGAATTAGAAATAAACTAGTTAGTTGTCTTCATTAATACGTTATTTGTTATAGAACAATTCATGGGCTTATTTATAATGCACTCAAATTATTTATGGAAATTAATCAGAGGCTTTTCGATGAATGCTCTCAAAATTTTAATCGTGAACGTGAAGACGAAAGTACTAAATTGAAGGAAAAAATATTGAAGTGGGAAATGATCGAAAGGAAAGCACGTCAAAATCCTCAGGTTTATGAATACACTTTTATTCATTTAATCAAATGATTAAAATTCTTTTTATGAATAAACACCCTATGCTAAGAGTTCTTCATATACTTGGCTTATTCCTCCACATCCTGTCAGTTTTGTTAATGAAAATTGTATACATTCTAGTTCTCGGAAGTCAGTCAACAGTTGCAGAATACTTGTAGTTCATTAGCACAACTTTCGATTAATGAAAATGCAGGAATAGAACCTGTGGATCCAACAAAAATCAAGCAACAAGCAGCACGATATGTACGTATGTTAAGTGTGAATTGACTTTGTTCTTTTTAAAAATTCGTTTATTTCTTTTCATAAAAGAATAATTGCTTTACCTTCAGGCAGTAGACTATGTCCAAGAACGGCCGTTAGTGCGTCGAAAGAGCGAACTGCCGCATGATCCAAACACTGATCGAGCGTTGGATGAGCATCGACGACATGATCCTTATTTGTCTACTGTACCACATGAATAGACTAAAGTGCTTACTTGCATAGGTAATCTTATCTAGAACGGTTTTTCCTGAGCTGAAGATGAGTAGCAGCAAAAAAGATGGACAAGCTATCATCAAAATTACTCTGGTATTCGAATATATTCTCGATGTTTTTGAAATGGACAGACGACTGTTATCGTTACACTCTTCTGTTCCATCCATTTTCCGAAATCTGTCATTCAGTTCGTCCAATTCAAGTTCCTGTCTTTTCGGCAGTGTTTTAGTTTGTATAATTTGTATATCGTGGTAAGTTTTCGTAGCATCCTAGACATTCCTTTCGGTCATTGGATCGTTATTAAAATTCTTTCCTCTTTTATACTGTTATCCTAAACTCATCGTGGACATTCGTTTGTTTTTTCTAAGCTTTCAATTGTGCTCTTTGCAGTACGCTTTGTTCAGAGATTCGTAATTTCCATCCTCCATGATAACATGCTTTTTTAATTTTGAGTTTTCATTTTTTGTATATTTTCTATGCATTTCGTATATGCTCGCGTCCTAGCCTCATTTCAGCAAAGTAATATTGAATTAGGAATGATATATTTCTTTGTTAGGATATTCCTTTCTAAAGTATCTGGGATATGTCGGCAGCTTTTGCCGATGTTAATGCATGTAATTATTCATCGTAAAGCTGTTTATTGTGGCATGAATGCTTTTGCAATACTGATTGCTCTTTCTTTTATGCTAAACAGCAATGCATCCAACGTTGCATAGAATCGATTTACAAAAATAGTTGAAGAGATGCTCTGACAATTATTTAATTGCTATCCAAGTTTTTATAGAGCACTGCTGATCTTCTGGTGTATTCTTTCCTAAGTAAGTGTTGAATTTTTAGTACAATGAAGTTTTGTCCATTGTTGTCATTGTTGATACTTGTTATTACTATTATCATTATTATTATTATTATTACTTTTACCAAAAAAATTATTGTTTTTCTTTCTTGGTAAGAAGAAGTTCTCAGATGTTTTCAGGATCTGTGATTTCTCTAAGCCATTGAACATATAAGTTGAAATCTTATAACTTGGCGTGTTTCGCTGTTTTTCTGCTTAATGTTTCGCATCGTATATTATCAGTCATCTAGGTATTGTAGCAAATTTATAGCAAATCTCGGTTTTAAATTTTGTTTTTCAAGTATGTTATAGGGTCTGCGAAATGAGGATAATGTTCAAAATTTAGGTGATGTGGTTACCAGTTGATAGATTGAAAAGTCTTTTAGGAAAAGAAAGTTGATTTTCTTTTTTTTTTTTTTTTTTTTTGAGATACTGTGATGGATCGGATGTGTAGTATGGAGGATGGGTATCACATAGAAGTCACTGTTACATAAGCATATTTTCCTTGTATATTTTTATACATTTTCCACTCTTAATATGTTGAATTTTTAATAAATTGGTAACACTTCATATTTTGTATCATTCCGTTTTTCTGCACTGGAAGTTGAGACCAAGGACTGTTAACAGTTTTGTTGACAAGTATCATTTGAAGCTGCTTAGTTGACTTGTGGCTTCTTTGTTATTTTGTTCATCCCAAAGTTACTTGTGTGTTGTATTTTCGATAATATCTTAATAAATACCCGTATATTCTCATTGAAATGTTCCATTTTCCGGGGCATTGTTAGTGGGCAAGACGAATCAAGAAGAAGAGTTTTTCATCTGAACGGTACTCTGAATACCCAACTCTCAAGTAATATTGGTGGTTATAAGGAGTCCTCAAGTAGTTTATTAGCATATTAAGATGCTGAAAGAGTGAGGGTCGTTGATTTCGACGAATAGTTGATCCTTGTTCTTCCGCAGTGATTCGTTAATGTTCGACGAATAATTGATCCTTGTTCTTCCGCAGTGATTCGTTAATGTTCGACGAATAATTGATCCTTGTTCTTCCGCAGTGATTCGTTAATGTTCGACGAATAATTATTGATCCTTGTTCTTCCGCAGTGATTCGTTAATGTTCGACGAATACTTGTTCTTCCGCAGTGATTCGTTAATGTTCGACGAATAATTGATCCTTGTTCTTCCGCAATGATTCGTTAATGTTCGACGAATAGTTGATCCTTGTTCTTCCACGGTAAGTAATTCAGTTTCTTTTATGTACAATCTTTAGTAACATAATTCATATCTGTTATGTATTAGCAATATCCAATATATACAAAAAAAAAAAAGCGAAATTATTGTTACTCCAAATTGATACCAATATTAATTTGTTCAAAACTTTACAAAAGTTTGTATAAAATTATTGATCTAAATGTTCTTCAGCATATTTCTTTCATTTTTTTTTTCTCTGTATTAGAAAAAAGTATAGATAGTGAGTGATTTAGTAATATTCAATTATTACTCTAGCAGATTTGATAATAAGCATAAAATATACAATTGTAAACAAATCAATTCAACAATTAAAGATTTGAACATTTGAGCATTTGTTTTAGAAAGGAAAATAACTGGTTAACTGGTAAATGATAAGAAGAGAAGTTATATAAAATATAGGCACATTAATATACTCAATCAAAAATTCTTTCTCCTCTTTGAGTCAAAATTTTACAAATTTCTTTCGATTAATTCCATTCATCGATTATTCTATTTATGCATCATTCATTTTATTTAAGCAATTTATAAACGTTTATTTCATTCATATCAATCGTTCCGCTTCTATGGTTAGATAATTCTTCGAATTTGTCAAACCATTCCTGAGATGTGATTTTGGCATATCATTTCTGCTTGATGGTTCTCGATTTAACATGCTGCAATAAGTGCCATCAAACGATTCCAGAATACATCTATGCCAAATAATACTATAAATAAACTCATCATATTTATTACAAGTTTTATAATATTCAGACTAATATAGCATATTAATATTAATTTATTTTTCTCACATTAAAAAATAAAAATTCAATTTCTAGAAGTTAAAATTTTGTTTGTTAATTTTAATTCAACAATTAAAATAACTACTTACCTAATCTCTCTACTAATTTAGCTAAACTAATCTTTTGATAATTTAATTTAACAAAATGAAATTAGTAATGCAATTATTAGCATAAAATGAGATATTACCAAGCAGTGGAGCGAAATGCGTTTGATTTACGATGCATTGAACTAATGCGCGAAATTGTTGTGCCAAATGCATTAAATGAAACACTGAAACGTGGCATTTGTGTGTGCGCTTTTTTCCTCTTTGTTAGCCAGAAAAAGAGGAGTGGATTCCAGATGACAGTTGACATTGCTATCATATGAGCTAATAATGGCCAGAAGAATGGTTGTTCGAGCAGAAACAATGGTTCTAATTCTGAAATATCAAAGGTGATAAGCTCTCTCTCTCTTCATTCATAGTTTTTTATCAATTCTTTGTAAAAATTTTATCAAATGACAAATGATAAGATAACTGTTGAAAGTTTCTTATTTTTGATGCTAAATACTAAATAAAAGAAAGAAATAATAATTTACTAAAATCTTTCAGCATATTAACAACTGTAAGTGGCAGCCAACATCCGATAAATGCAATTACCATACCGATAAGTATATAATTAACCTATAAGTAATCTCAATTAACCTATGAGAAAACAAAAAAATCTGATCAGTTCAAAAAAAAATACCAATTGATAATTTGTGTAGAATTTTTAACATATTGCTTACAATTTAATAATTATCAATAAGTTAATCATATTTGTAGTATTTTAAATAAATCATCCCAAAGCATTAAATATTTTTCCAAGAATGTCTCAAATGAAATTGCATCATCTTTTTTTTTATTCATTAATGATAAGAAGATAATAAGTGAGAATTATCAAAATATATCACTTTCAAATTTACAAAATCTTTTTTTTTTTTCAATTTTATTAATACCTATAACAAAATTTACGAACGAAATTTCTTCATCTAACTTACTCGTTTCCTTCGATTTGTTGCTTCTTCACGTTGAGCAATTGATAAACTTTTACTGAATTGTACATTTTGAATTATCATATCACTGGCAACTTTTGCTAATATTCGAGCATAGCAATATGTTATGATTGTTAATGGAATAACAAACTAAATAATTTCTTTCCATTTTATATTTTAGTTTCATTTACAAAAAAAAAAAAAAAAAAAAAAGCACAAAGAGAAAATAACAATAACTTTCTGTGAAGAAGAAAATATCAAAATTCTATTAATTTCAATCGACCAATCTACTATCAATGCTTAAATTTAACTTTATTTTATTTTTTTTTTCAAATGTACCTGTAATAGAACAACAGATGAACCATAGAGACGTCGAGGCATTTCACCATTCCAATTAATTTCATCGCAAAAAAGACCACAGAATGGTGCAGTATTATTTGGTACATAGTATGCACCATCAACAAGTTCATAACTCATTAGATATGGTATATTAATCATCGTACTAACCACCCAGATAAAAGCAGTAACTAGGCCTGCTTGGCTTATGGATACAGGTGCACGAATTGGCCCCATAATATGAACAAATTTATCAATTGCTATAGCTGTTAAACTCCAGCTGAAATTTTGAAAAAAAGATGGCATTGTTAAAAAAGTTTCAATTAGCTAATCATATATCAAATTTTACTAATTAGCCTAAAATCTCATTTTAAATTAAATATTTCAATGTTTGTGCTAAAATTGAAGTGATCATTTCTTTAACAGTACTTTTGAAAAAAAAAAAAAAAAAAAACTTCTAAATTTTCTAATTCATAATTGAAACTATCTTTTTTTCTAAGCAATTATCTCTATACTAAAAGTAATTCCAACAAGAAAGTTATAATGAAAATATTCTTTTTTATAAAGTATAAAGTAAAGTTATTGAGATATAATTATGATTTAATATCTCATTCTGGCTTCTGATAACTGTCAAAATGAAGGATACAAATAATTTCGGAATAGAAGTTACAGTAATTTTTTTTAAAAATTTATTTTAGTTTATTTTATTACTCTATTTTATTTCATTTTATTTTATTGTTAAAAGATATTTCAATTTATTTTATTTTATTACATGTCAAAAGATAAATTCTTTTTGTCAACATCACTTCTTAACTGATAACAGCTTTGCAACGAAGTCATATGATATTGAACTGTTAAACTCTTAACTCTATGAGTAACATATCATTTATAAGTGACAACTTTGAATGACACAAATGATGCCAATAAAATTTTGCTACCTTTTCCACTTTATTTACATTTTAAAAATCAGTATGAAGTGCAAAAGATAATAAGAAATTGAAATTTTGATAAGAAATGATTGCAATAGAGACAGCGATCATTGATAATTATTGATTTTAATAATTGGGATAAAATAATAATTAAAAATTTCGATACATAAATAAATATTCAAATTGTAGAGTCAATTAATTCTTTATCACTAAGTTCATTAAAATTATCATTAATGTTTAATAAGAATTTTAAAATTGTTTAATTCATTGTTAATGAAAGAAGTCATTATACTACAGCTATTTCCTTTCCTTCTTCTTTTTCTTTTTCTTTTTAATCGTAAAATTTTCACACATTTTCAATTATCTTAAACAATAAAATAAAACAAAAAAAAAAATTCATTTAAAATAAAAAAAAAAAAAATTAAATTCTATGGTAATTAATGTATCCCTCTCCTTCTTCTTCGTCTTCGTTTTTTTTTTTTCACTCTTTTAATCTTCTGCTAAAAATGCTTTCAAGAAATATATATTATATATATTTAAAAGGTTGCTATGACTACCTGTTAAGATGACGATAAGGTTTTCTCTTTTGAATTCAATTTACTTACCTGGTCACGAAAACAGAGCATGAATTTGATAGTGGCATTAAACGACACATTAAAGCACCAAATGTCCAATTCTTTGTTAATGCATACCATGGTGTTACAGGTATTGCGGTAACACATAGTAATAAATCAGTTATAATTAAATTGAGCAAAAAAATATTTCGAGCTGAACGAAGTCGTCGATTTTTTGTAAATGCAATTAAAACACTACCATTACCAGTAATACCAATGAGCATAAGAAGACCATAAAGAAATGAGAAAAGCACTTCAATTGTTAGCCATCTGTAATTATTTGTTAATTTATCTGTTATCTTTTTTTTTTTTGATATGATAATGATAAAATTATTAATTAATTAACTAATTAATTATTTTTTTTTTTGAAGGAAGTAAAAAAAGAAAGAAATAGTAGAAATAAAAGATTCGTTGAGAAATGAGAAACGAATGAATGAAAGGAATAATTTTGTTGGAAAAAGTATAATTAATCATAGTGATATTAACTTATCGCATAAAATTTAAAAATATTTAATGAACATTTTAAATTTGATAACAAGAAGAGAAATATGAAAATTATATTTCCAAAAAAAAAAAAAAAAAAATCAATCAATAAGCATTTTGGGTTTGATCTACTTTTATTTTTTTTTTTTGATAATCAAAAGTCACAATCAAAAAGTTACACTCCTTGTATACAAAAGGACGATGGAATGTAATTTTCAATTTTCACTACTTTAACTGATTAATTTAAAATAAAAAAAAATCCGTCTAAGAGATAAAAATTAATCTTCTTATCAGTCTCACATATCACACCCTTAATTATTATTATCACTGTTACCTTCTTACAAATCACAGCTTACAATCATTATCACTGTTATCTTGTTATCAGTTGCATATCACAGCTTACAATCATTATCACCGTTATCTTATAATCTGTTACTTATCACAGCTTACAGCTATTATCATTGTTATTTTGTTATCAGTTGCATATCACAGCTTACAATCATTATCACCGTTATCTTATAATCTGTTACTTATCACAGCTTACAGCTATTATCATTGTTATTTTGTTATCAGTTGCATATCACAGCTTACAATCATTATCACTGTTATCTTGTTATCAGTTGCATATCACAGCTTACAATCATTATCACCTTTATCTTCTAATCTGTTACTTATCACAGCTTGCAGCTATTATCATTGTTATCTTCTTATCAGTTTCATATCATATTATGTTTTTGCTTTACAATACAAAAATAGTTTCACTAATTTTGACAGTAAAACAAAGTAACATTTTAGTTTCAGCGCAAGCGCAAATGTTGCTTAGATGCAAAGTTCATGTAATTCAATACTGCTTTCTTGAATACATCAATTAGTGTTTATTCCAATTAGTGATTCTGTTATCAGTTATCAGTTATCTATCATTACATAATCAGTTATTGATTACCAGGGGAAAAGAGCACATTAATTTGCATTTTCTTCTGATATTGTTTGATTATTTTGGTATCAGTTTGATATCAATGCTTTGATCTTTTAAATTATTTTTTTTTTTTTTAAAGAGATAAAAAGAAGAAAGAAACTTTGAAATAATCACATTTCTGTTCTTCTTACTTCTCATTTCGTTATCTTTGACATTTCAGCAGTGATAATAATGCACTCTTCTGTTATATAAAATGGTTTTAAATGATAAAATGATAAATTATCTTGTCAATTTTCTCTCATCAATCATTTATCAATTAAAAATAAATGAAAAGTTCAATTGAATTAATAATTTTTTTTTGTCACAACATTAAACATTAGATTATTTCCATTAGGTTAGTATGTTTATGAAATAATTTTACGACAAAAAAGAAAAGGTAAAAATCTATTGGAAAGGTCATTTCCTGAACAGTCGTTTAGTTCGACTTCTAATTCTCTCTTCACAAAATTTCAACTGTTAGTACATTTACTTTGAATTATACTTATTAATGTGAATTTTTTAAACTATATTCAATAGTTTTAATTTGCTCATACAATAAAAAATGGTTTCATTTAGTTCATTTAATAGTTCAATCATTTTGATCTTTGCTCTTTAATAAATGCAAATTTCCAGAAAATTTTCACTAAAGATATTTGCTTATGAATTATCGTCTATTGTCAACTCCATGGTATATAATATAATCTTTTAAACTTTATCGTATACAAATAATTTTTGCTTGAAAGCACTATTTTTTGTTCAAATGTCACAAGAGAATACTTCTGATGTGACATTTGAACTTTGACCTCATCTAAGTTTTATTATTCCAAAAACATATGATACTAACTTTTGATATATGGAGCAATCTTATCGGTATTCTGATGTGACATTTGAACTTTGTCCTCATCTTAGTTTTAGTGTTCCAAAAACATATGTTACTAACTTTTGATATATGGAGCAATCTTATCGGTATTCTGATGTGACATTTGAACTTTGCCCTCATCTAAGTTTTATTATTCCAAAAACATATGTTACTAACTTTTGATATATAGGACAATCTTATCACTTCTTAAACTCATAATCTGATATTACTGAGAAAATTATAGCCAAATATTAGTGTGTAATAATACTTTCAATGTGATGTTAATTAATGATTAATTAATTATTGTGTGGAATAATTATTGATTATTAAAATCATTGATAAAGAAATATAAGTTAGCTATTGAAACTTTTTTGTGTCTTACTAAAAAGAAAAGCCATCATTATAGGATAACAATAAGCGATAACAACGAACAATTTTTTTAAATCAAAAAAAAAAAAAAGGGACGAAACTTTAAGCAAGATTAAACATCAAATAAATAAAAAGTTAGTTGTTAAGCTAGTAATAAGCAGATTTTACCTGTCATAATTATTTGATGATTCACTCTAAAAAAATTTCATTAATGGTGACAGATTCGTCATAAACGTCTTGAAAAAAAAAAAAATTAATGAATTTAATGAATGAATTTTGATCCTTCGTATTTAGCTAAATTTTTGATTTTCACTTTATCACACTATCATACTGATATTATCATTAATATCAGATTAATACCACCCTTTGATAACGATAACAATTTAAGCTATCAATTTTATTTATCAGTCAAATAAATTGTTGCACTGAATAAATTTCATTTATAAAACATTTATCGGAAATATAATTGAATAAGAAAATATGAAAAGTAATTTTTTTGAAAAAAAAAAAAAAAGAAATTTATTCTGGCATTGTTTTCCTTTATTGAAGCCAAATTTCTTTGTATATTAAAATTTGTGAAACATTAGCGCATTGATTTATTCAATTCGTTGTGGCTCTAAAATTTCGATTTCGTGAAAATATTTGATGTAATTATCATTTTTTTTTTTTTTTGGTAATATATTTGACAAAATGTAAAAGTAAAAGTTGCATTTTTGGAATAAGTAAAAAATTTTGTAAGTAAGCAAAAAAAAAAAATTTTACAAATTGAAATATTTTTGAAATATTTTTGCAATATAACAATAACTGTTCAATTATGGTATGATTTTAAAAAATTTAAATATTGAAAATTATTAGCTGTTCTTTTGGATGCTCGAATGAATAATTTTTGAATTCATTTATTTCATTATTTCTTTGAAATTATCGAAAATTAATTATCGTATGAAATTTTTTAATTAATTAAATTAAATATACATGAATTCATTTAATTTTAGCGTTGGAATATTAGTATTATTATTCAAACAATAATAATAATAGTAATAATTTTTCTACAAAGTAATATTTTATTTCTTAAATTTTATCCAATAAAAAATTGACAATATTAATTTGACACTTTTTTTTTTATAAACTTTTTTCTTACATTTTTAAGAAAAATTTGAGAAAAATTTGTTTTTTTTTTTTTCTCATATAAACTAATTCGGAAATATCGAATTTTTTTTTTTTTTTTTGCCCTATAAAGAATTTGAATAAAATAAAAAAGTGAAATAAAAAAGGGACTAATATTTATAGGGCCAGATGTTTGAATAATTATACTAGTAAACAAGTCCTAATGTGCCAGTTGTTACTTTCCACTTACGTCAATACTCGAATTATTTTCCGCTTTTCTATCCAATACTACTAAAAATGCTCAAAACATTTAGCACCTAACAAAATTAAATATTTTAAATAAATATTAATTAACAAAAAAAAAAAAAAACTTACATATTTGATGATTAAAATTTATTTATTAGTTTTTCTTATCAATAAAAAATTGTCAAATTACATTCCAACATATATTTTACCACTTTCTAAACCAAAATACTAACTAATTCTTCTCATCAATGACATCATTCAAAAAAAAAAAAAAAAAAACTCTTTTCATTCCTCAACAATTTGAAACAATAATTTTTGTGAAAGAAGAAGAAGAAGAAGAAGAAAAAAAAAAGAAAGAACAAACTTATATTTACTTTTGACAAATAGCGCCACATAAAAAAAAAAAAAATTAGGCGGAAATGTTAAAGTTTTCTTTTTAACCAAATGTAAAGTTTACATTTTTCAATTTTTTTTTTTTTTTAACTAAAATATTTTTTGTTGTTAGGAGAAGCAATTGAGTCAACTGATGCATTCCAAAAACAAAAAAAAAAAAAGAAAAAGAAAAAATCTTATTCGATATTTTATGAGTGTTAATACTTTTCAAGTATTCCTACTATAGAAATCCTTTATTCTCGTTGAAAATTGAAATTAGCAGCCATTTTCTTTACGTCATTACTTAATTCTAAACATTTTTTTTTTTTTCAATCAATGAATTAAATTTTCTTACTTTTTTATGCTCTTAAAAATTTTAAATATTACAAAAAAAAAAATTAATATAAAAAAGTGTTAAAATTATCTATGACAAATTTAAAATTTGAAATTATAAATTTGCTATCGTTCTTGATTTTAAGTCTAAAATTATTAGTGTAATTCATAATATGGATCATTTCATTTCAATTATTATAGATATTTCAAAAATTTATTTGTAATATTTTCATTTACTTTGATGGAAATTTTTTTTTTTTTTTGAAAAAACAACTTTGAGAGATTTATTAAATTTTTTCTTTAAAATTATTATTAGAATTCATAATACGGATCATTTCATTCAATTATTATAGATATTTCAAAAATTTATTAATATTTTCATTTACTTCAATCAAAATTTGTTTTTTTTTTTTTTTGAAAAAACAACTTTGAGAGATTTATTAGTTTTTTTTTTTTTCTTTTTGCATTTCAATCATAACAGTAAATGAATGTTAAATTTAATT